TGTCACCATGCAATATTCACTAAGCCTTGCAGGCAGCCCAGAGTTTAGGAAGCATGATGGCACAGAGATCATAGGACTTGCATTATCCCTTCAAAGTTGGAATTCCAACTCACACCAGATTTTTCCAATTCAAATTCAGTTTTATTAGAGATCCCAGCATAATAATTTTTTTTAAAGACTGGACTGTTGCTTTTTAATTTTCCATTCCTATTTAGAAAAAATGTCTAGAGGCAATGACAAAAATAACCATTTAGAAAGGATTCTTCTCCAGAAGTTTTTTGTCAAGCTTTAAGTCCAGGCTTTCCATTCTTTTTTTCATTTTAAATAGAAATGGTTTTGGAGTATGTCAACCTTTACTCGGCTTGCTACACAAGACCTCTGCCTTCTTAAGACATAGACATAATGCCAGGACCAAGCCTCTGGTCTTTTAATCAAGTCCATACTCGGTTGCTAAAGAAGCTTGTTTGAATCCCAAAGTCAGTTACAGTCCTAACCTTCAATGGTAGACAACTGATTGCACCACTTACGACATATACCAGGCTGAGGCAGAAGTGGGTCAGATGTCCTTTGTCTGCTATGGGTGAGTGATGTCGGCAGTTGAGCCTGTGTTCCCTTCCCCAGAGCTCACTGTGCAAGCTCACTCCCACCCCACCTCCACGCACTGAGCCTGCTGCCTGTCCAGCCGTAATGGGAGGTGCTTGAAAGTTATCAGAATAAATGATTTTCAGTAAGTGTGCACAAAGGAAAATTGTATATACTGTTTCGACCTACTAATCATTGATTCTCCATCTCTTCTTGGGATGCCTGTACTGTTAGGCAGATGAGGAGTTGAAAATACAGAGGAGCAACATCTGTGTATAAACATATGCCCTAAGTTCTTCATTAACTTCCTCGGAAACTGCTGTTTCTGAACATTGCATTTCCTTGAGAGGGAGAAATTCTCTATAATGTTGTACAATGCATGTAGAAACACTTTTTAGTCTTCATCTCACTGTATAGGTTTCACAGTAGGGCAGCAGGAAACCACAAAGGCATAGTAAACAGCTCCCTGTGTCAGCAACATGACAGCTCCTCCATCACTCATGCTGACTCTTGGTAATCTGGTGAAGTTGGATACATCATTACATTTTTATCTGTGCTCTGCCCGAGGTTTTCCCTAACCACTATTAGTGAGTAAAGATCTAGAGAGCTTTTGTGAAAGGGGCAAAATATAATCCGTGTCCTGGTCTGCAGCCAGGTGTTGGTGTACTCTATAATGGAGAAAGAGGATTATGAGAAGATTTTTGTTTTGGCTTTTGGTTCAACCAAGACTTAAAAGATTTATAGAAAACATCTTTATGGGACTAGGGGACAGAAATGTCACAGTAGGGAAAGGAGGTTGCAGACCACAAACACATCCAGTAGAATTCAGGGATAAAAACATCCACACAAGTTCACAGAACACAGAGGAACCTGACAGAATCTTCCTGAGCTATGGGTAAGAGGGTCAGGGCAAAGGGTAAGTGGGGCACAGTGAGAAATTCTGAACCTGTTCGGATTTAATTCTGCAGTGAATTCTTCTAAGTTTGTGCTTTTAAAATGTCATTAAGATAACAGCTTTTTAAACATTCTTTTGCCTCCTGTTTCCAGGTGACTCGGATTAAAAACCGTAGTAGCATAAACTTCACAGGATGGAAGAACAGTCTCGATGCAGGTGAGGCGAGGAGCTAGATGATAGGCGGACTTACATAGTAAGTGAGAGTCTGTACGTCTAGGCCTTTCCTCTGACCACTCTAAGTCTCTGACCTGCCAGAGGTGGCAGTTTATTTCCTCTGAAAGAAGCCAGTAATGGACACTTGTCTGTTGGCTTTGCCCAGAGCAGCAGTCCCTTTCTTGGGGCCCTTTCGTTCCTCTTTGGGCTCTTTTTTCACAGTCATGGCAGGGGATCTGTGTCCAGAGGATGTCTTTATCGTAAGCTCCTCTTCACTGTCTGTGCAAGATTCACTCTCGAAGAATTTTTCAGTCACTAGAATAAGGAAGAAAGGGGACATGAAAGGGTTTATCTGGAGGCATTTATCAGGAGAATAAGGTATCTGCTCACTTGATAATGCATCTTTTTCCCTAGTGGAGATCACATCTACTCTTGGGTAGAAAGTATGTGGGATCCTGAGCTCATTCAGCCTCTAGGTAAGGCTGAGAATTAATTCCTCCCTCATTGCTATGTCCACGCCATTAAATGAGCCTTTTATATTTTCATTAATTGCTCAAATCCTTTATTTGGGTCCTGGTCTTCGGAAGCTAACTTCCTGAGCTCTCTTTGTATCTGGACTGTCTGTATTTCAAATACCTACTTATAACACCACACTCTGACTACCTTCTGAGTATTATCTCTATGACTCATTGTACTTGCTGATTGCCACTGCTAGTTTTCCTCTTCTTAAATCTTTGGCCTACCAAAGCCCCACGTTGTCTGGCAAGACTCACTGCCACAGATCCCCTTCGCTAGCGCTGATGTCACCTACTCTCTGCACATCTTAAGTACAGGGAATTGGACATTATCACACCAACCTTCAGTTGTTAGTTCTGAATGATTACTAATTAACCCAAGATTCAGTAGTAGTCTACATCGTAAGGCTAACTCCCATACAGATGACACACTTGGTAGTTTTGAGTTATGGAAACAGAATCCAGCAATCTGTGTTTTAACAAGCACGCCAGGTGATTCTGATCCATACTGAAGTTTGAGAGTACATGGCAGACTATATATTAAAACACAAATATATTTAATTCTAAAGCCTATGCCTTGTGAACATTTGACTATTAGAAAAAATTATCAATAATTAAGATTTGATAAAGTGAGAAACAAAGTTACCAGTTCTCTTACTCTTCATCAGCCAAAGCCATCAAATACCTTTCATTCTGTCATTAAAACTATCCAAACCCTTCCCAAAGGGAAACTTGGAAAAAAACTTGATAGAGAGCACTCCTTATGTGCAATCTCCAAAGGGCCCAGGCAGAAACAGTGGTTTCCAACCATGACACAGAACTATGGAGGCTCTCTCAGCACTGCTGTATTTCACACACCCACCACAAGTCACAGCACAAGGTGACTTTAGAGAGCGGAAGCAGCAATGTCACCTAAATTCTTTCTCAGTCTGCAGCAAGTGATAAAGTAACAATGAAGGAAAACATTTTTTCTTAACTGAAAACATTAATCTACTCTGCATAGTAACTGCTCAATCAGAGAGAGAGGTGTTTTTTTCTATAAGGAACAATGATAGTTTCACGCTCTTAATTACTGATAATTCTAACACATTAGTCAAACTGTTCTAGAGCCCTAAGCTTCAGAATTAAATATATCTGTTTCCTAATACCTAGTCTGCAATTTAAGAAACTCTCCTAACTTTAAAATGCATTAAAATCACTTGGAATGCTTGTTAAAACACAGATTATTGGATTTTATTTCCAAAATTTCAGATTTAGTAGGTCTAGGGTGGGACATGAAAAGTTGTTGTTTTTTTTGGTACCGGAGATAGAACTCAGGTCCTTGTGCTTGCAAGGCAGGCAGCAGCACCACTGAGCTAAATCCCCCGCCTGAGAAGTTGTTTTTTAAAAACATGTTCCCAGATGACACTGATGCTCTGATCACAAATGAATAAGTGATAAAATATTTTTATTTTTTTCCTTCCTTTTAGTTTTACATGCTGTAATTAATTTTGCAAATGTGGCTTTTTCCTTGATTCTATCAGAGCTTCCCCCAATTTATCTGAGTTCTGATCAAAGAATTCAGGATGAGAAAGACCCACTAGTCACTGAAGGTATCCTCTTCTAAAGGCTTCAGTTCGTACACAATAAGGAAGCCAAAAGAGCAGATCGTCATCCATGTGTAATTTTCTTCTTTCACTTTTTAAAAATACAAAACGTAATAGATTTGCCAGTGTTAAATTAACTGGAGTTTAGAAACCCTGAATTCATATAATTTTGACTTATTAAGTGTTTTTGAAGGCCTTATTTCTCAAACCATCCTCCCCAAACCAGACATATTAGAGTCTCCTGGGAGCTTATTAGAACTGTAAAATCTTACCCATGAATTACTAAACCAAAATTTCAATTTTAGCAAGATCTTCAAGTAGCGCACAGTCAAAAAAGAAGAGATCCTGTCAGAGACTTTAATCTCTAATGGAGATGTTCCCCAAGAGGGTCCAGTCCATGGCCAGAGGCAGTTTTGATTGCTCTCTCTTTGTGGCTCAAAAAATGTACAGGTTTTCCAGGGAAGCCTTGTAGATTAGGTCTATTTCCTTTATGATCCTGGTTTCTCCTGTTGTTTTTGAGACTCAGAGGTAGAAGGAATGTCACAGCTTCAACTTTCACTTCCTGGAAAGTTCTACATTGTCAACTGTTGCATTTGAGCTGTCGTGGAGGTGGAAGTTTAAAAGTCAATTGTGACAGAACTGCTGCTGCTCCTGCTGCTGCTGCTGCTGATGTCAGTGCCCATTTTTGTATTTAATATTAAAAATGATTCCAATTAAAAAATAATTCCAATGTAAAATTATGAGTTATTATTTATTCAGCAGCTTAAATTAGGAAAGTCTGAAGAGCCATCAATTAAAATGAAACAACTTACTATTAGTTGGTACAAGCCATTCCTACTTAATAAGCCATATTCTGTATTCAAATAGCAGCATGTCTATAATATTACACTTCAGCATCAATTAGCTCATTATTTCTTAATGAAACCAAAATTGTTTCATTGCCAATTTTGTGTAATACATTGCTCCAGGGTGTTAAAAACCAGTCAGGCCAGCACCAACACAATTTCTCAATCAGAACACTCAGTGCACCTTAAAAGCTAAAAGGATTATTTGTAGGTAAAATGCTGTAGCTATTTCAAACTACAGAACAAAGGAGATTTCAAATAAAAAATATAGGGCCTTTATCTTTAGTTGAACATGCCAGTTTTCTTGGCTACCATCATTAAAGGTCTGGTTTCCACAGGTAACATCAGATTTCTTTTCCACTCAACTGCTTTGCTTGTAGAAATCAACCTCATGTCCAGAAGTTCACCCCAACTTATCTTAGGAGCCCAACTCCCCAGTCCCTGTTGCAAACTCACAGAAAAGGGAAGATTAGCTTTTTAAACCAAAAGAACAAATGTGATACAGCACAGGACAAGGCAAGCCTCAGTGCCGGTACATTTGGAACACTCTGAGCAGAGGAGAGCACAATTCCTTTGTTGGCAACCAGAGCCAAGATTCATTAGGTTGAGCTTGGACTAAAAACCTGACAAAAAGTGCTATGTGAGCACAGTTTTCATTGTTTTGTCCAAGGCTCTTAATAGCCCTGTCTGGAAGCAAGAGTGCAAAAAGTCCACATCCCACACCTGGGAAAAGCTGGAATACTATTTTAAATAAAACAATAAGTAATTAGGCACACATTCCTAATGAACTCTCAATGATATCATTTACTTTTTTCTTTGGGGGTAGAAGGAGAAGGAAAAAACTGGCACTGATGTTTCATCCTTTCCAATTAATGGTGGGGGTGGGGGAAAGTCAACAGTAAATACATGTATGACTACCAGAGGCAAAGAAACTATTGCCTTGAAAATGCTACATTAACTGGGTGTAGTGGTACATGAATGTAATCCCAGCACTTGCACTCAGGAGGCAGGAGGATTGCCTTGACTTTGAGGCCAACCTGAACTAGAGTGAGATTCTGTCTCAAAACTTCACCATCCCCAAAAAAACTACATTAGAATACTAAAAGCTTTAAAAGACCATAAACAAAAAAGGTCATTACAACCCCCCAAAAAAACAAAACAAAACAAAACACCCTGAATTCATAGGCTCACAAGAAATTTGGCATGAAAAAACATGTACAAGGAATCTTATTCCTAATAGGTGCTACAATCAAAATGGCAGAGGCCTCTTTATAGGAATGGAGGTGAGAAATAATGGAACAAGATGCTTGACTGACAGAATATTCTTAAGAATTAATAACCATGCTGTCTAGGAAAAGTTGATTCTTCAGATCTAATCAATCTTTTTAAGACAGAAGAATCAGGGCCAGGGATTTAGCTCAGTGGTTCCGTCGCCTGCCTTGCAAGCGCAAGGACCCGAGTTCGATCCCTGGTACCAAAACAAAAAAAACCCAAAAAGACAGAAGAATCAGCCAATGACTCAAGGCCTGAATTCTAATTCCCCTCTGGGCCTTTATAACCAGTGCATACTTTTACCTAACATGGCTTACAAAGAGAAAACAGAAAGGAAGCAAACTGGATGACTCATACCCTTCTAAGAACAAAGGGACCAAACACTAAAGATTATCTTTTCAGTCTTGTCCTTTGTAGGAGCTTCTTTCCCACTGCTCAAATTTATAAAGCAATCATCCTAAAATGTCCCTAAATGTCTAGGATAACATCTTAACTTTGTATTGTTTTCCATCCTGAAAGTGTTTTAAGATAATTACCTCACCTGATCCTTTATAACAATCCCTCATTTAGATCAAGAAACTCCCATTAGAGATGACATGACTATTACTCAAGATCATCAGGCTTATTTTTTACATGGAACAAAGAAAGACCCGATGTTCTAAGGTCAGCTACAGCCTTCTGTATACTCTGTTCCTCAAAGCATGGGCCACAGACAAGCAGTATCAGCACCACTTAGGGACGAGTCACCTGCACATTTAAGTCTGCAATGGACTTCTTTGCAGGAGATTACAGTACCTCTCTGTTAACCATTCTATGTCTGGATTTGGACTCAAAAATTTGTCTTACCTATGCAACCTTCCATATCCATGAAGGTTTTAGATTTCAGTACACGCTTTCGTTTTCTTTTGTTTTCTCCACTTGAGTTCTAAAAGATCAGAGGAAGATCAGAAGATACAATGGTAAGTTGACCAATGAAACTACAGACAAAAATAGCAAAAGCTTCAGGAACTCTTCATGTCATGGAAACCAATCCTACCACACAGAAAAGTTATGCTCAGTGTTTTACTATTTATAAGATGCAAGTAGCACGCAGTGGAAAGTACTGTATTGTTTCTCTATACAAGCTTTTCCTGGGAAGTGTTGGTACTATGATTAAAAAGATAAATAGGATAAGGATCTTAGTTAGAGGAGGGGAAAGACAAGGAACGCAGACCCAGGGGTGCTCCCTAAAACAGACCAGGATTTTCTCAGCACATGTCATAGCCCACAGACACCTGCTATGCTCAGCCTTGGTATTTCAACATTATGCCCATCCAGTTTAGTAGGAAACATGTTATTACTCATACCATTTTCCTTTTATCTATTGGGTTTTTTTTCATCATAACAAGGTCAACACAAGATTTAAGTGAGTCTTAACGTAATGAATTAAGGAAAACTAATAGTCACAAAGGAAAAAGAAAACTTGTCAGTATGTGTTTTCTTCATACAGTGGTACCTTGGCACTCTTTCTTTTTTAATTTTTTCCCCTGGTACCAGGGATAAAAGGTACTCTTTCTTAATTGATTCCAGGAGGTGAAACAAGTACCAAAAATTGTTTTGGCTAGGAAGGCTAGTTAAGTTATGAGTCAATTCTACACCAACAATTTCTAGCTTGTGTGTCAAGTACCAAAAAAACAATGAGTATCACAACTAAATTTTCCGGTCAAAAACGCATCAAGTACCAAGATGACTATACTTTGGTGCCTACACTAATAGATGCAGACAAAACACAATGAAGAGCATTCAAAAGGGCTGTTTCCTCATTTAGTGCCAGCTTTTCTCATCTAGCCTTTTTCTAGAAATTTCTAAAGAGTGACAAACATGTGTGTACTTGTATGTACATGTATGTATCTTCTGTCCTTCACACTTTGCTCTGGGGTAGCAGGACCTCTTTTTGCACAGTTTCAACAAAAGTTGTGTAGCACAGCAGCTCTGATGCTCAAGGACATGAAAACCAGTTTTTCAAACCCACCTCTTTAACCTTTCTGAGACTATGCCCTACAGCAAACTCTCCCTTTGGGTGAGAGGAGAAGGCATACAATGCCCATTTTGTCAACCTGTAGGGAAGCAGAATGAGACAAGAGCCATCTACTGGCATCTGCGAAGTCTACAACATGAGTCTCCACTCAGCACAGTAAATGTAGATCCTCAAGCAATCAGAGACACATGGAACAAGAAGCATCCTAGTAAGGTTTTACCTTGAAGGAAGGAGGTTCAGGCTCAGTCTTCCTCACTGGATCAGGAGGTGAAGATATGGGAGGAGGCAGGGATGGTGACTCAGCTTCGTAAGTCCCAGGAGAGTCTGGGATGACTGAAATAAGAGAACAAGCTTAGATAAGAAAACTATCAGCTCATTTTGTAAAAAGTAATTCATGACAACCAAGCACTCTGTAGTTATACAGTTATCTTTAAAATACACATTAATTTTATACAACTAAAATCAGAGAACCAAGAATTATGAGAACTGGAAATATAGATCATCTAAGCTAAATGTTTTATTTTAGTTATGTCAGGGCATGAAGGAGATGTATAAATATCTAATGATCACCTACCACGTGTCATATTGAGTATTCTTAGTTGAGTAAGCACAGGTCAGAGGTTCCTTCACTTGAAAAACTCACACAGCTTGCAAGTAAGGTTTTAAACCCAGGTCACTCTGATTGCACACCCTTCCTAGTCTACCTATCCACATTATCTTATTTATTTATTTTTTTTGGTACCAGGGATTGAACTCAGAACCTTGAGCTTATGAGGCAGGTGGCATCACCACTGAGCTAAATCCCTGGCCCATGACCTTACTATTAATGACCATCTTCACTCAAGATCAACAAAGGAGATAATCATCTGATTATACCAAATGCTCTGTGTCAGTCTTTGTGATTGTTAACTTCAGGACTTCTTGTAATCACCTGAGATACGTGTTAGGCTGAAAATTTCCAGTTGAGCTGGGCATAGTGGCCCATGACTATTATCTCAGCACTTGGGAGGCTGAGGGAAGAGAACTGCCATGAATTGGAGGCCAACCTGGGCTAGATAGTAAGTTCAAGGCCAGCCTGAACTACATAGTGAGATTCTGTCTTAAAAAAAAAGTTCCAGCTCATATTAAGAACATAAATTTTGAGGGAGAAATCATCTGTGGACTGATGCTCACAATTAAAGATTTAACATTCCTGCTGAATGTTCTGTGTGGGAACTATTTTCTAGTGATTGTCCTACTGATGAAACTTGTTTTGCTACATTAGGAGGAGCAAGAAAGAATGTTTTTAGGGAAGAAATAATGGTATGGAAATGAGAAGAGAGCACCACCAGAGGAATCCCATCATTTCTCAGTAGATAAAGAAACAAAGGTCCTAGTATCAGACTCAAGAGACAGAAGCTGAAAGTCCTCAGTTGACTTATGGCTGGTCAGGGGACTGGTTAGTTGCTTAGCTTCACCTGCTCCCCAGATCTCCTGGCTACATCCAAATTCTTAGCACAAGTCTTGGATCTGAAATTCTCTCTGATTAGGTCAGTGTTAAGAATTCTGATGCCTGAAGGTTTAAGGCCAAATGAACTAAAGAGGTGTAGCAGAACGAGAGCCAGAATGAAACAGTTTTACACTTCAAGTATGAAATGGGCCCCCACACTTTAAAAGCTCTAGGAGGCTAGCACATGATGGGAGCTCAGGCAAGAGAAGTGATATACACTCTAGAACCGAGAGCTCATTTGTTCTGGAAGCATAGCTCTTCAAAAAGCTGGGGCACAATGGCAGATGTGTTACAGGGGTTGGAGGAAAGTTTAGGCAGTGAAGAAGCCAAAGAAGTTTTGAGTACTCATGGTAATAAATTTAGGTGTTTTATTCCATTTCCACTTTTGCAGCCACTTGACTTACCCAAGGAAAACATTTAATCCCAGTGGCACTCACACCCCTCTGAGTACCATATACAGCTGTTTGTTTACCCACATCCCCACTTCAGGCTCTCGTTCTAAAGAGGCAGGAATGCCACAATTCCCCTGGTGCTGAACACAGAGCAACAATTCTTTTTTTTTTTTTTAAATAAAGGAAAATAATCACTTCTAAGCTAAACTTGGGATGAGGAGCATTCACATCAAGGAAGACTCAGCATATTCCCTTTCCTTCTACATGTCTCCCAAGAGAAACATAACAAAGAAAAGAAAGTATCAGAACCCCACCCCAATAATAGGAAAGGGAATAAAGGAGCTGAGATGAAGAAGGAATTTAGAAAAAAAATCCCTGGAAGACAAAAAGCAGATAGGAGAAAGTTGGCAAGAGAAAGATCAGGTCACTGAATGAGTCAGATGGTAGAGATTACTATCTATTCTAAATGTTTTATATGACTTTTGGTGATTTTTTTTTTTTAATGTGGTTTGGACCAGGGATTTAGCTCAGTGGTTCTGCTGCCTGCCCTGCAAGCACAAGGGCCGGAGTTCCATCCCTGGAACCAAAAAAAAAAAAAAAATGTGGTTCTAGGAATTGAACCCAGTACCTCATGTGCAAGCAAGGTAGTCTCTTTCCCACTGAGCTACACCCCCAGGTTTATCTGACTTATTTTGCTATTTTATTTATTTATTTATTTTTTGGTACAAGGGATTGAACTCCAGTCCTTGCACTTGCAAGGCAGGCGGCGGCACCACTAAGGTAAATCCTTGGCCTCTTATCTCACTTTTAAAACCGTGTAGCTCTACTGCTTTGCTCAAACTTTAAAAAAAAAAATGTTTTTAAAGGCAGAATGACCAAAATTTTTTAGACTTTACAAACATTATTCATACTTATAGTAACCCCTCAAATCACTGTAACTTGTTTTATACAACTGAGGTTCAAATAATTTTTTTTTAAAAACTTGCCCATACTCATATAAAATGGAATAGATGAGAATAGAAGTCTGTCTGTCTTACTACTTATCAAGTCAAGCCCTGACTCAACACATCTTTAGTGGTGAAAGCATTGACAATGTTTGAGGAATTTGTGTACTTTGAGTAGATTTGTTGTAAATCTGTAGATCTTCTGATAAGTACTAAAACATCACTTATTCCAGGAAAGCAATTTTTGTAGGAGCAGAATAAGAGCTGTGGGTAAGATCAGGGATTCAGCAATGTAACCACTTGTTTGTTGAATCTGCTGGCAGAGATGCATAACTGAATTCCTGGAAAGCATTACCAATTTCCTAGGTCTCAATATTTTAAAAATATCTAACCTTACCTTAAAAGAGGGGGAGGGTCATTTACTTAACATTCTTTATAAGCAACTTGCAGGAATGAAAATACTTAAACATATCTGTTACAACTCTGTTTCTTCCTAGCAATACATATATGCTTAATGCTGTTTCTTTCACAATCTGGCTGATTTTTTTTTTCCCCCTTTACAGAAAGAATCTGTAGAACTACTAATGGTGACTATGACTGGCATAGTAAAAGAAAAAAAAAATTGGCCCTTGGGTAGTTCCAATGTATAGGTGAGGGTACTTTTCTGAAAGACGGTTCCTGCAAGTACATTTACCACTGCTAAACACTAAACATCTTACAGCAAGGGGGTAGGGGTAATTTAAAAAAAAAATAAACCCCACTATATGTCAAGTAAACACTATTGTGGCATTCTTACACATCATCTTACTTGATGCTCATAAATAACACTACACAGTTTCTGATAATATCTCCATTTTTGAAATGAGGAAACAAGAAATTGAAGAAGTTAAGTAATCTGCCTAAAGTCACACAGTAAGTGGTGCAGGGAAGATTTAGACTTGGGTTTGTCTCATCCCAAAATCACTGCCATTTCCTCTACTGCTGCTGCTCCTCTGCTACCTACTATATTAGGACAGCAGACTCAGCAAATATCACGTAATCAATGTAACAGAAATAAGTTTGTGCGTAAAGTTTTAAAATAAAATCCCACTGCTCTAGGACAAAGAAATTTAAGAATAAAATGGCAGAGGCTGATTAAATTTAGTTAGATGCCAAAAATTATCTTTGCCAGTGGGAAAAAAAAATGAGAGCCACTGCTCTCTGTCATCTGTTATTATAGGTTGCTCCCCTCTATCACATTTCTTTGCACTCCTTTCCAAACTAAATAACCTCACTTGTATTTCTAATCACCCACAGGTAGTATTATTTTTATGGGCCATGGACCAAAACTATAAGGAATATTTCAGTAATATGTAACGGTGCCCAATCAACTTCAGTAATTCCTCAACTCACTAATATTAGAGTATCTAGTTTACCTTTTCTGTGGCACTGAGAATTGAACCCAGAGGCACTCTACCACTAAGCTACGTCCTGCCTCCCATACTTATTTTTGAGACAGGATCTTTCTAAATTACCCAGGCTGGCCTCAAACTTGCAATCTTCTAGCTTCAACCTCCCAAGCAGCTAGGATTACAGCCATGCCCCACCACCATGGCTGGGTACTTTACCTTTTTAATGTATATGAAGTTGATAGGTTCAAAGCTTTTTCTAGAATCTTTCCCACTTCTTCCCTTGATTGAAAGTAGGTAAAACTACTCTAATTAGCACATATTCTAAGTTACTCCTTATCCCATGCACCTGCGTTTAAATTCTTAACTGTTCAGAATGTTCCCTGATAGGCTTTTATTTCATTCATATACCTGGAAATCTTCCTTTTAGAAAGTATGGTCAAAACATTTTGATAAATGACATGGAAAGAAAATACAGCAACTGCATTCATAACTGAATGTTCACAATGCCCTAACTCTACTCATTCCAAAGATCCGTTAAAAAACCATACCTCTAAAGAGCACTGGTTCCTCTCAGTGGATGTCAGAAGCTGTGCTCCCAACACTACCCATGCATGAATGGTAGGATCTAAGTCAAAATGACATTTCTATCAGAGAGATTCAACTACCTGGTACCATTAAGGTCTATTCATTTATTTTGCATTACAATTTCTATATATAATTTGGTTTTTTTCACTCACTTGTACAATTGAGTTAGTAACTTTTTTTTTTTTTTTGGGTACCGGGTATCGAACTCATATCCTTGCGCTTGCGAGGCAGTCACCAGAACCACTGAGCTAAATCCCCGGCCCTGAGTTAGTAACTCTTTTTTGGAGAGATTCTGGTACCATTTTTAGTTCTTCCAACAATAGTTTCTTACAACAGTTTCTTCTAGTATCTTTGGATAGAAGATTCCTTTTTTTCCCACTCATTATTTTTCTTTAATCCCTTTTGGTATCAGTTTATTTGCATTTGTCTATGTACCTTAACACATGCTAAATTTCTTCGGATTAGATTTCTCCACATTCCCTAAAATGGTTTATGCACATTCTGCCACAAATTCTTGAAGAAGTGGATACAGCAACTTTTTATCCCTGGCTCTGAGTCATTCGGCATGTCACCTCAGTCCAGGTCTTTAGCTTCAGCCTCCTCCTCTTTCTGTGTATTTTCCATTACATGATTTAGTAGAGATCTTGATAGTCTTTTAAAAAGCACATTAAGTTTTCTGGTCTGACTCTTGCCCACATCTGCCTGCTTATCTTACAACATTGCCCATACCCTAAAACTAAAAGGGTTTGTAGTGTCATTGCCTTTCAACAATGTGTACAGACTACCTTCAATACCTTGATACCGAGAACATCACAATTCTTAAAAGATTCACATAAAGTTCACATAAAGTTAGCCAAAGGAATAACTTTTTTTTTTTAAAGATAATGCCTTAGTATAGGTAGTAAAAGAGCAATTCTAGTCAAAAGTCTACAGTAGATATCAAACAGAAATAGAGGCTGTATTTCTTCAATGCTTGGATTAATACCCTCATTATGACCTATAATAAATTACTTTTTAGTTTCTTGGGCATAATAATAAAAACTGATCCCCCTAGTAAATTAATAATAATGCCCACCTTCATCTTCACTGCTATCAGACTGAGGAAGTTTGATTCTTCTCCTCTTTTTCTTCACATTTCCAGTTTCCTTTGTTTCATCATCAGTTAACTCTATTCGCTTCACCCTATTGCTGTTCAGAAATAAATAAAGCATGTTACACTGAACAAAAATGTAAGCACTCATACGTACCTATGTATCTTTTTCTCATGGTCCTAATTCCAGTCAAAGTGGACCAATGACTTTTTTTTTGGCAGTGCTGGGGTTGGAACTTAGGGCCTTCTGCATGCTAGGAAAGTCCTCTACCACTGAGCTACTTCTGCAATACAAGGATTTTTTTTTGAAGGATATACTGTTAACTAAGCGCAACCAGGTCACTTGATAGGTGACCAGAATATAAGGTTTCTCTAATTCTCTATAGATCACTGAAAGCTACAACCAGATTATCAAGAATTTTTTTGAATGCCTTCCTGCTTTCCTTATTGGCTTGTCACTCATTCAACAAGCATTAAATAAGTAGCTACTACTCACTGCTGTCAGACTGAGGAAGTTTGATTCTTTTCTTTTTGTTCAATTTCTACAGATGCTCAAAGAACAAGGCTATACTCAAAGAACAATTTTATGACATTATATCTAACAACTTAGATGAACAAACTTCTTTAGAAACACAACTTATTAAAGATTGATTAAAGAATCAGAATTGAATAACTCTATTCAAAGAAGTCAAATTCACAATAAAAGAACCTTCCCATAAAGAATATCCAAACCTGAATTCAATGATAAATCTTTATCAAACATTTAAGAAAGAAATAGCTAAACTCCTTCAGAAATGAAGACACACCTCTCAACTGATTCTGTGAAGTTAGCACAATTTTGACACTAAAATTGACAAAGACATTACCTGAAAAGAAAATAATTGAGCTATACACCTCCTAAACACAGAGGCAAGGACTAGTGATGTAGCTCAGTGCTAGAGTGCTTACCTAACATTCTAGGGCTCTGGGCTCAATCTTCAGCATCACAAAAATCCAAATAAAACCACAGAGGCAAAAAAATTCCTAGTGTGACATTAACAAATCTAACCCAGAAATATATAAAAGGGATAATACATCATAACCGAATGAGATTCACCCCAAGAAATCAAGGTGCTTTAACATTGAAAACTCATTTGGTACAATTCACATTAGCTGAAAAACAATCACAATAACTCAATAAATGCAGAAAAAGTATCCATCATAATTTCAACACCCATTCATGATAAAACCTCTCAGCAAACTTGGACCAGAAAAGAAATTTTTCAATTTGGTAAAGGGCACCTACTAAAACCTGCATTTAATATTATACTTACTAGTGAAATAATAAATGCATTCTTGGCAATAAGCACCAACACTAAATGTCAGGGACATTTTAAGCCACCTATATCATATGTTTCTGGGAGAAAGGTCCACAGGATAGAGCCTTAACCCTCTGAAACATCACTATTTTGTTGATGGTTTTTACTCAAGTTGCTCTAACCTTGCCACAAAAGTCAGGTCTTTGTGGGCCTATCAGTGCTGACAGTGTCCTTTAGAATTTCTTTCAACAGACTAATTCCTACCAACTATGAGGTAGTGTCTCAAATTCCTGGATCCATTTTTAACAGCTTGTGTGCTTTTTATTTTCTTTTCTAATTACATTTTACCACTTGAAAAATAAACTCATTGATATAAAAAGAAAACAAAGAACTTTTTCTCTTAAATTTGACTGGAAACAGTAACCTCTCATTGGCAATTTGAAGTGAAACACACACACATACACACACACACACACACACACTCACACACACAGGCATATTTATGTCATGTTAACGAATTTAAAATGAAGAAATGAAGTAAAGAAAAAAAGACAATTATACATCAATGGAGACAAAAATATGACTTAAGAGTCCTACATCACCCAAACTGGCTGATTTCACAGTCCTACTTCACCAGATAAGCTACTGAGTTCTCTTTTCACTTGGTTGTAGAGTTGTATCCCTGAGGTACTAAGCAGAATTTAGGACTCAACTGAAAACAACCTGCTGTCAATAAGCCCACAGACCTTCTCACCCCCAGCAGACATTTCCCTTACAAGTGACAGAATTTTCCTACCATTTTTTTTCCATCTGCTGCATCTTAACAGGCTCTGCTTTTTTGCTGGATTTCTTCAGGTCTGCAGGAGTTGCCAGCTTTGGTTCAGTGACAGACACTGGAGGTTGCTCCACTATTTTTTCTTCTTTCACTGCTTGTTCTGAGTCCAAATTGACTTTAAGTTTATCTACAAATAAAGTATAGCAGATGATATATAACCCCATCATGCAATATTAATCCGTCATTCTTTTGACAGTCCACTATGCGCCAGGTAATGTTAGCAGCAAAGACTAACAGGATAAAAAACAATCCCTGTCCTAACAGAGCTCAGTCTATTCAGAAAACATTTCTCCTTTCTAACTACTACTGTAGCTATTACTCCTCTCATTTCTGCCTCTTGCTAATCTTTCATCATATCACAGCCCCCAGGCCAAAGGATAGTAAAAGTAAGGTTTAGAAAAATAAATACTGTACAACTTTGTGAGGTATCATCTTTCTCTATTTTCAGATGAGGAAAACTAACAGTGACAAGGATTGAAAGATGCAAGAGTATATAGCTTATAAATGGTGACCACAGTATTGGTACCAAAACCTTTGCTTTCTATTATATTCTACCTTTTAATGCCTGGATCCTCTTATCTCACAATTACCTTAATGATAAAACTGAAAAACTATTTTGGTTCACTTTTGTTTCCCTTTGGGAAAGTTATTTTACCTAAAAATCATTTTTCTCTAAAAAAGGTGAGGATTGTAAGAATTAAGAGAGATCAGATATGAGGTTAGGCGATTTACTCAGGGTAACACTGACAGAAAAAGTAAGAGCCAAGATATGGACTAAGTCAGTTTAATGCCCCAAACTCTTTCCCTACATGAAGCTAAAACAACAACAACAACAACAAAACCCCACAACTAGGGCTTGGTGTAGAGGACTAATAAATGCTCACAAGAAGGGCCTAGCCATCTGAGAAATTATAGAAACATAATCTAGCCTTCACACTGGAATTAGTGACAGCTTTCTGTAAGCAAAGGTACAATATACAATTAGAAAGCTGTCAACAGTAGGCAGTTCCTCAATAAGTTTGGTTATATGTTTGATCACAGCTTCAATCATCTACAGTGTAGAAAAAAACACTCACATTTTAAGTCTTGACTGTTAAGCACAGGACAGTGTAATAATTTATAAATCATGTATATTATTTGAAAAGTGTAAATGATGGATTAAATGCAATCTATTTATACTTTTGAAGACTTGAAGGGGAAATCTAAACAATGAATCCACCTGCACAATAGCAGTATACGTTATTTTCTTGCATTTTCAATACTATTATTCTCAAGTATCAGTGTTTTTCAGACTTTACCACCAAGATACCCCAAACTGAACAGGAGATAAACATGTTACAAATGACAGCATTTCATTCCTTTTTATGGCTGAATAACATTTCATTGTTTGGATAGACCACATTTGTTTCTCCATTCATCAGATGATGGACTTTTGCATTGTTTCCATTTTTTGGCTATTAGGAAAGTTGCTGTATGGCTATTTTGTAAAAATTTTCTGTGCAGATATACAGCTTTAATTTGCTTGGATACTTACAAGAGGAATTAATGGGTAACTCTTACGTTTAAAACTTTTTAAGTTTTTCAATGTGAGTACACCATTTTACATTCCCCACAGCAATATGAGGGCTCAATTTCTCTACATCCTTGCCAACAGCAGTAAGTTTAAAATGTTCAAGTCCCCACAATAAACTCTCCTCATCCAATTCTCAAGCTTTATTTTCATTGCAGTGATCTTGTCATGCATCAAAATATTATAAAAAATCATACTTTTACTCTGAACATTCAGCCATAAAAAATATGTGAAATAAACCAACTTTGTTAATGATTCTTATTAGATGAATAATTCTTTTGTTTTGTCAGGGTTTTTCCTCTCCCTGTATTACATGTTATAATAATATCTGTCTAGCAATTATAATCATTATTTTATTTTTTCCATATATTTATCTTCAGGAAGTGTATAATTAATATTTGCTAAATGAACACGTAAGCATATACACACATATACATATGTGTGTGTGTGTGTGTATACACACACACTTTGGTATTTTTTACAATTGGCAAATTTTCATATAGCTTATTTAAAAAAAAAACAATTTTAAAACTTAAGGTTATGAACAAACAAACATGTGGGCCTCATCAGAACTACCAAGAAACTACAATTTGCTTGAGTCCAGGGGCCCAGTAGCAGCCCCACAGGCCAGGGACATCATCAGCACTACGTGTTTTCACAGAAGCAGAAGTTCTGCTGTGCACTCTGCCCACAAAAATACAACTGTGCTTCTCAGCCTAAAATTATCACATTTTCTATATACTGTACTTTCAGAACACAAATATGGTCTCCCCTGATAACTTTCATGGCAAATAAAACACTATTACCCCAATCCCTCTTTGACTGCCAATTTGACTACCACAGAAGGCAGAATTCACATTAATTTTGCTTGCATAGGCATAAGAAAAAAACATTTCCCTGAAAAATCTTTGTAAAATTGATGCTCAAGAAAGTGTACCATAATTATCCTCTGGCTGCTGAATTTTTCCTGGTACTCAGCCACATGTCCCAGGGGATAGATATACTTGAAATGAGAAGCATAAAAATATGTGGCTATTGCTTCTTCCATAAGAAAGAGTTCTCATTTATATTTTTTAAATAAAAGAGATTATTATCTTCTCACAATCTAAATTTTAAATGATCATCACTACCTATGCTGTTCAAATTCACACTGAAGTTTAATTCATTACTGTGAGTAATCTGCAAAAAATAACTAAAGAAACACAAAAGATGTGTTTTTCTGATCCCTTAGAAAATAGGTGAAACTGGGCCGGGGATTTAGCTCAGTGGTTCGGTGGCCTGCCTTGCAAGCACAAGGACCCGAGTTCAATCCCGGTACCAAAAAAAAAAAGGTGAAATAAAGGTAAACTGATGCCAGCACTCACCATATTAACCTTGACAAAATACTGCTGAGTGAGTGGCCCTTTTACTTTAATCACTCATTTTCAGTAGAATTATGAAGCAACTATTTCACTCTTTTCAAGGCATGAAATGAAAGCAGAAATAGTAAATTACTATCTCAACTGAGTCCAAGTTATCCAGTAGGTCCACTGTGCTAACTGCTTAGTTTCATTAGTGTATTGGTCAGTATTTACAAATTTATGTTAGGAAGTAGGAATGCCTGGACAGGCAAAAACGAGACATAGTGGCCTTCACTTCAGTATATGTTACCATGTTAATATTCATTTATCAATCCAAGGAAAGTAAGATCATGCTTACTCATAGCAGCTTTTCCAAAAAAATTGCTCATTGTATTCCCTTTTCCAGGTGCTTTGCTTCCAGCCGAAGATACCTTCAAAGAGAGAAAGATACTCTACTAAAAAGGAAAATTCAGAAGAAATGGATTCCTATATACATGTGAATTATCAAAACTGAATCAAGAAGATATAAAAATCCTGGATAATTCAATATCAGTCAGTGAAACTGAAGTAATAAAAAAATTACCAACTAAAACATAGAAAAAAACCCATAAACACACGGTTTTTTTTCTTAGTGCTTGGGTTATCCTTAAAGCAGCACTATTTCAAGTAATCTCTCCAGCGACAGAACATGCTTTCCTGATGGTACAATCTTTATGTAATCAAGCAAAAATGTATAGGCATTACATATAAGAACTAATCTAAAACAATAATCCAGACCACACAGTATCTGATCCTAATTTACAAAGCTTTGTCATAGTTCTTGTAAAATTATCCATGATAGGTCTAAGCTTTTCTTAAGTATATTCTAAAATGATTTACATTGAGATTAAAATAGATCAGATGTGTCAGGGAAGTAGCTCAGTGGTGCTGTGCCTGCCTGGCAAGCACAAGGTCCTGAGTTCAATCCCCAGTACAGAAAAAATCAAGCAGATTATAGATGGTATGGTTACAATACAGGGGAATGGGAAAGATACTATATTTTTAATTATCAGAAGTGGATGTGAATTCTGGTTTTACCATTTAATAGTGGCAATAGTAATTTAAGAGTAAATTACCTAGCAAGTTCAGGCTTCAGTTTTACCACATACAAAATAAAAATGCTAAGGCCCAAACAGGATAAATATGAATATTTAAACAAAGATCAATAGGAATTCAATAAATGTCTGTCTTTCTCTCCACCACTCTTTCCCCTTCCCAAAGCAGAATGTTGAAAATTACAACAATGGTGATAACAGTAATAACAATAATTATACTTTTCTGGATTTTAACAGTATTGTGATATTTAAGTCAATGTCCTTAATTTAGTTTAGATAACTGAACAACAACAACAAAGAGAAGTGAATGAAAAAAGAAGCTAAAGGAACAGAACAAGAGGATTAAATACACTAGAAAGATACATAGGGTGTGGCAGAAAAATTATGATGAATGCTCAAAATTTTTTACATTTTATTACAGTAAAAGACTTATTGCCATCATTTTCCCTCAAAACATTTTCCTTCTCTTCAAACACACTTATCCCATCATTCTTGCCACTATCTGAAGCAGTTCTGGAAGTCCTTTTTCATGAATGTCCTTTACTTGCTCTGTCATACCTGCCTCAATGTCTTGAATCAATTTAAAATAGTAACTTTTCACAGCCATTTTGACTTTGAGAAGGAGACAGAAGTCGCATGGTGCCAGATCTGGTGAGTAAGGTAGATGAGGATGCTCCTTAATGTTTTCAAGAGCCTGCCTTTCTGTTGGATGACACTCAGCAGCAGCACTCACTGTATTTTTGATCATAGCTCATAAATACACCAAAAGAGGACTTCCATAACTGGTTCAGAAAGCAACAAAATAAATGGGCTAAGTGTATATGACGCAAGAGATGTAGGGTATTTGTGAGATTTAATGGCAATGTGTCTTTCACTGCAATAAAATCTTAAAAATAATCATTAATCTTATATTTTGATTACATACTCCATATATGGCAAAGTACAGCATATAAATGTTCTCAAAATGACACAGGGCTAATATAAAATTCCTTGACTTTTACAATCTTTGAGGTGTTTTCACACATGCATTATTTCAGCTGGGTCTTATGACAACCTTATGATGCATACAGGGCAGGTATTATCATTTTATAGAAAGAAAATCCCAGGCTTGGTAAGAAGTATTATCAAAGCATAAAGGACTATTTCAGATAAGAATATCATGGGCCGGGGATTTAGCTCAGCGGTTCGGTGGCCTGCCTTGCGAGCTCAAGGACCCGAGTTCAATCCCCGGTACCAAAAAAAAAAAAAAAAA